GCTACATAGAGAAAGGTTATTTACACTGGATCTCTTTTTTCATGGAGGCCACAGTTATTTGTCCTTATTGGGATAGATCCTTTTTTTCTTATTTTTTTATTGTAATAAATTCTTATTCTAGATACGACTTTGCCTTCCTTGCCTGTCTTGCTCCTACTAGCTTTACTATATGTGGACTCATAGACTGTCTCATCTATGGCCACAGTATCACATTATATCATCTGTAACCAAGAAACTGACTTTGCAGAAAATGCAGTGGAGCAAAAGACTTATCCATGAGTTTTTCATAGAAGCAGGTGGCCTGATAAAAAGGTAGGTCACAGTTAGGATACCAGCTGGAAGATAGCACCCTGGGAATTTGCGGCACTCACTCAGTTTATAATATATGCCTTATACCAGCAGCCAATGCAGGATATAATTTGTCTTATACACATAATACACTGGTTTAAGAACCAAGGTAAAGTGGGAGTGACCTCCCTGCTATTATATATAGTAACCCACCTATCAAAGTTTTGCATAATATCCTCCCAACCTTTAGATTGGTGAGTTGGGAGGTTTGGGTGCCCAAGAGAGAAATACTCCCACCAGGAGACACATGAGAATGGCCCTGTATATTGGAAGCTGAGACTGCTTGTGATTTATAATTTTGTATTTCTCATGTTGAAGAACCAACAGCAGAAATGAAGGTTACTCTACTGACTGGGGTGATTAATCCTGATTATCAAGGGGAAATTGAGTTGCTGCTCCATAATGGGGGCATGGAGGCCTATGTCTAGATCTCAGGGGATGCCCATGTCCAGTAACAATGGTCAGGGAGAAACCATGGCAAACTAATAGACATTGGTCATTAGTAGGAATGAAATTTTGGGTCCTTCTCTTCAGTTAAAAGAACTCATGCAGACCAAGATGCTCAGAGAGTAGGGGGGAAGATTGCAATGATCATCAAATAAAGCCTCATGACCAGGTAAAGAAGTGGGGACTGTGGCATCTGTATTTTACGACAACTGTTTACTTCTCCCTTTTTCTGTTCACATGAAGTAGTATTTATGTGAAAGTAAACACTGATGTTAGTTAATATCACAGTATAGCTCCAAGTGGGAATTTGATTGAATGGACATCATTCCCAGGTCATACAGGATAGCATGCATAGGATTTTGGGGTTCCCCAGTTTTGTTTTGGTTTGTTTTTAATTATTTTCAAGCAAATCAAAGAAAAGAATAGATGGACCATACTGGTTGTTCTCCATCTGCAACTCCAGATCCACTCTCCACCCTTCCCTGCCTGCCTGCACCCTGCGCAGATGGCCTCTGAGGACTGCTGCACCTGCACTGCTTGGCCCTCTAGCTTTTTTTTTTTCTTTTATTTCAGCATATTATGGGGGTATAGATGTTTAGGTTACGTATGTTGCCCTTGGTCCCCCTCCAAGTCTGAGTTTCAAATATGGTTTGGCCAATAGAAGGCAACAGGAGGAATTTGAAAGGTGGAAGGAGGGAAAGGTTCAGGTATTTCTTCCTCACTCCCTCCCTACCAGACCAGTAGCAGCATCTTAATTCTTCTACCTATGGGTATCCTTTCCGGCCACCCCCTTCAAGTCCACAGCTCTTGCTGGGTTTGGTAACACCTCAATCTCCCCTCACACCTCCAGGCCTCAGAGTGGTTACAGCTTCCAGCTGTTGCTAGACCCAGGCGCTTCACCGTCCCTTATTGGTTCTTTCACCTCTGTCCACATCTCTATATGTGGTCCTTTCATCAAACTTTCTTCTATTAAACCTTTTTGATTCTTTAGGGCAAGGACTGAATTTGTGATTTTTAAAGTATTTCTTATTGAAGCCTGAATATTTAATAAAATGCACAGGTTTCAAGAATACAGTTTAGTGAGGTTTGACAAATGTATTGTTGGGGCTCAGAAAC